AACCCAACACGAAGACGAACGAAGTTTGGACGAGAATAAACAGGAAAACGGTGGCACAAATTCGACAGTGGATCGACCACAGTGTTTTTCATCATGTCTCTCAAGAGACAGACGCGTACAAACTTTGGGAGAAGCTCGAGAATATGTATCAGGCAAAGACGGCACGCAACAAGACCTTGCTGATGAGGTGCCTTGTAAACCACAAGTTACGAAGTGGTACGTCCATAACCGAGCATACGAGTCAGTTCCAGGATCTCGTAAACCAGCTCGGTGCTGCTGATTGGGTTCTCAAAGACGAGGAACAAGCCATATTGCTCTTGAGTTCTCTACCAGATAATTGGGAGACGCTTGTTGTGACTCTCAGCAATTCTGCCCCCGGTGGTAAAGTGACAATGGAGATGGTCACAGATGCCCTAATGAACGAGGAAGCCAGAAGGAAAGAAGCTGGTACAGACCAGTCTTTTGCCCTCGTGTCAGAAAACAAAGAAAGAGGCGGAGGCAGAACTGGAGGCCGAGGTCGAGGTAGAGGCAGAGGTAGACATGGTCAAAGTAGAGGAAGATCCCAAAATCGTGGGAAATCACGAGATCGAGGGAAATCGCGATAGCGAGGTAAATCTTCAAATACATGGTTCGAAGGCTATTGCAATCATTGTAATTATTATGGCCACAAAAGGAGTGATTGCCGAAGGTTCTTACGAGAGCAGCCCGAGACAAGCCAGAATCCAAGCAGGGAGAATGGTGAAACCATGGTCACCATAACACAAGACGTTGCCTTTGTTACATACGAGGAGGAAGCATGCCTACATGTTGAAACTCATGATGATGAGTGGGTGATTGATAGCGCTGCATCATATCATTCGACTCCAAACCGGGATTTATTCAGTACTTATAAACTCGGAGACCATGGTACCGTGAAGATGGGAAACACCAGTTTCTCAAGCATTGCTGGTATTGGTGATGTGCATTTAAAGACCAATGTTGGATGTACATTGGTGTTGAAAGATGTTCGGCATGTCCCAGAGCTGAGAATGAATCTTATCTCAGTTGGAGCTCTTGACATCCAAGGATATGATAATCAATTCAAAAATGGCACCTGGAAGTTGTTGAAAGGTGTTATGGTTGTTACAAGGGGAAAACTTGATGGTACTCTTTATAAAAGTCATGCAAAGTTGCTTCAACCAAGTATCAATGTTGTTAAAGAAGAGACATCACCAAACTTGTGGCATAGAAGACTAGGCCACATGAGCGAGAAGGGATTGACGACTCTTGCAAAGAAGGAGTCCATTTCAATGGCAAAAGATGTTGCCTTGGATCCTTGTAAATACTGCCTATTCGGGAAACAACACAGAGTTTCCTTTAGCTCCACAAGAAAGAACCGCTCTGAGTTGCTGAGCCTTGTCCACTCCGACGTATGTGGACCCATTGAAGTAGAATCTCTTGGTGGAAGCCGGTATTTTGTGACATTCATTGACGATGCGTCACGAAAGGTATGGGCATACTGTTTGAGAACGAAGGACCAAGTATTGGACCGCTTCAAAGCTTTTCATGCAATGGTGGAAAGACAAACATGCAAGAAGCTAAAATGTCTCCGATCAGATAATGGAGACGAATACTATTCCCGTGAGTTCTCTAAATACTGCACGGAACATGGTATCAGACATGAAAAGACTGTCCCACGAACCCCACAACACAATGGTGTAGCAGAATGGATGAATCGCACCATTGTTGAGAAAGTTCGATGCATGCTCAGCATGACTAAACTCCCAAAGCCATTCTGGGGTGAAGCTGTATTGACATCTTGCTATCTAATAAATAGGTCACCTTCCGTTCCATTGAATTTTGAAGTTCTGGAGAAGATATGGACGGGTAAAGACATATCATATTCTCACTTGAGAGTATTTGGGTGCAAGACGTTTGCACATGTATCAAGTGAACTGCGGAAGAAGTTGGACCTCAAATCCACTCCATGCATCTTTATTGGATATGGAGATGAAGAGTTCGGGTACATGCTATGGGACCCAGAACTAAAGAAGGTTATTCGAAGTAGAGATGTGGTTTTCTATGAAAACCAGTATTATGATTTCAAGGCACCGGTTAACAAGCAACAAAGCTCCAAAGTTTCAGATATAATATCTGAAAATAAAGAAGATGTTTCCGCTGAAGAAGTGGATGAAGAAGTCGATGATGCATATCAAGAAGGTGTTGATGAGGGGGAGATTCCACCCCTGGATAATTCAGATCCACTGCTAGAAGTTGCAAACGAAGGAACTCAAGTTAGACGATCCGAACGAGTACGTGCTCCATCAACAAGATATCCGACTTCAAACTACATCATTCTTACTAGTGAGGGGGAGCCAGAGAGTTTTCAAGAAGCTCAATCTCATATTGACAAAGCAAATTGGCAGAAGGCCATGGAAGAAGAAATAAATTCTTTGCAGAAGAATCAAACATATGAGTTGGTAAACCTTCCCAAAGGAAAGAAAGCCTTGAAAAACAAGTGGGTTTTCAAGTTGAAGAAAGACGGCAAGGGAAATACTATGAAGTATAAGGCGAGACTCTTTGTCAAAGGTTTCCAACAAAAAGAAGGAATCGACTTTGATGAAATTTTTTCGCCAGTTGTGAAGATGATGTCTATCCGAGTTGTACTCGGATTAGTTGCCAGTCTAGATCTTGAACTTGAGCAGATGGATGTGAAAACAGCCTTTCTCCATGGTGATTTGGATGAAGAAATATACATGGAGCAACCTGATGGCTTTAAAGTCCCAAAGAAATAGCATCTCGTCTGTAAATTAAAGAAGAGCCTTTATGGTCTTAAGCAAGCCCCAAGGCAGTGGTACAAGAAGTTTGATTCATTTATGATGAATCATGAGTACAAGAGAACTGTTGCAGACCATTGTGTCTATCTGAAGAAGTTTCCAGATGGGAAATTTGTCATCCTTTTGCTCTACGTGGATGATATGTTGATAGTGGGCCAAGATGCAATGATGATCAACAACTTGAAGAAGGATTTGTCTAAGTTCTTTGATATGAAAGACTTAGGCCAAGCACAACAGATATTGGGCATGAAAATTATCCGTGATAGAAAATCAAGAAAATTGTTCTTATCACAGGAAGAGTATGTTGAACGTGTGATCAAAAGGTTCAACATGGAAAATGCCAAACCCGTTGGTACGCCCTTGGCTAACCACTTCAAGTTGAGTAAGAAAAATTATCCATCTTCTGAGAAAGAAAAAGAAGATATGAAGGCAGTCCCCTATTCCTCAGCCGTAGGAAGTCTTATGTATGCAATGGTGTGTACAAGACCAGATATTGCTCATGCTGTCGGTGTTGTGAGTAGATATCTAGCTAATCCGGGAAAACAACATTGGGAAGCAGTCAAATGGATACTTCGATACCTGAAGGGTAGTTCGAAACTATGTTTATGCTACGGGGGAGCAAAGCCAATCGTGGAAGGTTATATATATGCCGATATGGCAGGAGATCTTGATAGTAGGAAATCTACATCAAGTTACATTTTTACTTTGGCAGGGGGAGCTATCTCGTGGCAATCCAAGTTACAGAAGTGTGTCGCACTGTCAACAACAGAAGCCGAGTATATTGCTGCCGTTGAAGCTGGGAAGGAGCTTATATGGATGAAACGGTTTCTTCAAGAATTAGGCTTTCCACAAGAAGAGCACATCATTCATTGCAATAGTCAGAGTGCTATGGACCTGAGTAAGAACTCGATGTACCATTCCCGTACAAAACATATTGATATACGTTATCACTGGCTTAGAGAAGCAATTGAGGGACGAGAATTGAAGTTGTTAAAGATCAACACCAATAACAATCCTGCAGACATGTTGACAAAGGTGGTGACACAAGAGAAACACAGACTATGTGCTGACATAGTTGGGATGAAGATTGTTGGACGGAGACTGGAGGGGGAGATTTGTTGTGTTCCAGCCTCCAAAGCCTCCAAATCTACAGTAGCCATCATTGTTGACAAAATGAAACATACGGGACAAGTTTTTCTTCCCACCCTAGGATGAACACAATTAATAGACGCAACTACAATGGTGGCTGCCAAGACTATAAATAGAGACTTCATTCTTCAGTTGTATGCATCCCAAAAACACAGAGAAACAGATAGTATAACACTTAGAGTGAGAGTGTTAGTGAAAGGGTTGGTTTTTTGTAATAGTTGAGTGTGAGAGTTGCTCCTCCTATTGTAATTCTATTTTCGTGTTTAATAGAAGAGTTTTCCGACCCCAACACGGTTTGTGCTGAATTGGTGTTGTAAATTGTGTTTGCAAATAGATGGAATGCATTGAAGATTTATAGTGAAAGTTAAGAATGTCTTCCGAAAAGTAAATTTGTGTGTATGTGACGATGCAAAATTGGAAAGGACATTGAACATACCTGTTAGTGCAGAGAAGTGGAAAGAGGATTCTGATGTAAGATATCGTAGTTTTGTTATTGCAGTTGAAACAGAGTACGAATCGTATTAGTCAATTGTCGGTTAGAAGAAGTTTCTAATAACCGATTTGCAGTTAAAATTGTCGGTTCTTGTTGAAAGTTGTGGAATCTATAGTAAGAGTTGATGGTGATTGCGGCGGCCTGTATATAGTTGTATATAACGATATGTAAGGGACGGAGAATGAGTGTGGTTAACGGCGAAGTTTGTTAGGGCCGGTTATTTAATATTTAGGGTACACGACATACCTTTGGGCTGGGCCATTTATATTGATCTTTTATGATTAAAATCGAAATGTATTTTGCCGATAATTAGCCTATCTAAAACCTTCAAATATTTATTTGTTTCTTATATGATAAAATTTAAAATATATTAAACAGCATAATAACTTAAGAAGTGTTGCCGCTTTATGATTTTAAACAATACAATTGTATTTGATGTATTTTATATTTAACTCAAAAAATGGCATCATGAAGATGATCAAAATTGCGGCAATGATGATCATTAGTAATTTCCTATACAGTTGAGTGAATTTAAAAATTAACTATTTAGGTCTCAAATGACCAATCGAGGGCAAATGATCTGATTCACCATATACATATAAATAAATTTGAAATAAAATCATAAATGAAACTGTATGACAATACAAATTATGGTTGCAATGTGTATGTAATAAAGCAATTGCAGATGTTGCATGTTGTCCTTTGGCGTGATGAATTGAACTTGTCCCTTTCCTTTTGTACTGCCATATGATGTTGCAGTAAAGTTGTTTCTGCATGAAGGTATCTTGCATCAGGATTAAGAATTACTTTGGCAAAATTAATAAATGTGGATATCATTAATTTTAAAACAGAGTGCAAATATGAAAATAAACACTTTAATCAGGATAATATAATTTTTGTAAGTAATGCAATCATACCAATATTAATGAAAGAGATGGATCTCCAGAAGGGTTGTGAATGTTTGCATGTTGTTTACTATTGAAATATTGCTTATTACAGTATGTAATAAAAATTAATTGCTAATATAGAAATTAAATGGATTTCTTTGGATAGTCCATTGACATATCATTTAAATCAAGTAATATTAAATGAAAAGAATGAAATTTGGAATGTAATGCAGAAAACAAAGTGCACTTACCAGATCACTGAATAGTGTATTCCTGTGATGATCCGAAATCATTATTTTTGGTTTAGTAGTTGTTTACCTGTTGGAAATATTCATGGTCTAAATTTATATAAAAAAGCATGTAATCTGTCAAGCAACCATGATATTGCAAAAACACTTACGTTGATGGTTGTAATTTGTTTGGCAAAGAAAGGAACTACCATCGCTGGAATGCATACCTGAAATTCAATTGAATTACTGCATGAAAATTTATCATATAAGGGGTATTGCACAAATGGACTTTCAATTCATTAAAGTGGATGAAAATTGGAAAAATAAAATGACCTGCTATCTTATCTAATCAATGTGCAACAATGTGTTTGATTTTAGTTTTTGTTTCATCATACCAGATATTAAGTTTAATAGTAATACATACCTTTAGTTGAGTTTGGAACATTGTAATACTTCTTGATATACTATATTTTTTGTGTTATGTATTTCTTGATTTTTGTGAGATTTTTTGATAACAACTTTAACATTTTCAATACTTCTAGCACGAGAGAGGGCAACATACAATTGTCCATGTGAAAAAATAGGTTCCTTAAGGTATATGCCCACTCTGTCTAATGTTTGGCCTTGTGATTTATTAATTGTCATTGCAAAACAGACCTTGATTGGAAATTGTGTTCTTTTGAATGGCACTGTGTATTCTTCACCTGTAGGTGGTTGTAAAGGTATTCTATGTATAAATACCTCTTTTCCAGCAAAATCATTGAATGCTATCTGTGCTCGAATAACATTTCTATCAAAGTCCTTGCAAAAAAGTCTTGTACCATTACATAATCCTTTTGCTGGATTCATGTTTCTTAATAATATAATAGGTGCATCTACCTTTAAAATCAATTTATGTGGTGGCATACCATGTGGAGTTAAAGAATGTAGAAGATCCTCATAATGAGCTTGGTCATTTTGATCAAGTGTTTCATCAAAACTAATATACTCTTTCTCTTCTCCTTGGAATTTGTGTATTAAGATATCATTTAGCTCATCAACAAAAGTATTTTTAGTTGTCAAAATAGCTCGATTGAAGGATGCTGGGTTATTTATAGAATTTTCAAATATATGTGGGTAAACATACTTAATTAGAACATTTAACCCTTGTGATTCATCATTATCTGCTATGACAATTTGTGATGGAAGAGTAACAACATCATCATCTTCTAAATTTTCTCTACCATCACCTAATCTTAGAAGAAATTCAGTAAAAATTGGATCTAGTAATGCCCTCATGTTTTCATTTAGTTGTAGTACACATAGTGATGGCCATATGTGTGAGTTAGTTATACAAGCAGCAATTGTATCATGTTTGCTTCCATTTCGAACAACTGGCAATGTTTGCCTAAAATCACCACCAAGTACAACTACTTTCCCTCCGAAGATTTCAGTTGATTCCATAAGATCTTGTAAAAGTTCATCTAGGGCTTCTATTGCTTGTCTTTTTGCCATTGGAGCTTCATCCCAAATAATTATCGTACAAGTCTTAATCAATATACCCAATGAACTTTGTTTACTGATCCTACAATTTGACCTATCTGTCAAATCTAATGGAATCTTAAATCTAGAATGTGCTGTCCTACCTCCTGGTAGTAATGAGGCAGCTATACCTGATGTTGCAGTTGCTAAAGCTATTTGTCCCTTTAATCTGATATATGCTAATAATGCTCTATATAGGAAAGTTTTCCCTGTACCACCTGGACCATCAATAAAAAATGCCCCACCATTGTTACTTTCTACTTTTCTAATTATTGTATCAAATGCAAGTTTTTGTTTTTTGTTGAGATTTTGTATTGCTCTTTGATCTATTTCTGATACAATGATACTTTTTTCTGTTGCTACTTCTCTTGTGTCATCTTCTAAATCAGCATATGATAAATCGTTTGGCAATATATCAAACTCATGAAGTTTTCTTCCATTAGACTGTAGCAATGTATTAATTTGCTGAAATGCGCATCGCTTTGCTTCAGTTAGTGAAAGAATATTGTAGTGTACAAAGTCTTCAAGCATGGCATCTTCAAATGATTCCCATAATTTTCTTGGATTGTTAGGATTTGTATACACAAGTAAGGTAGCGAAAAGTCTTCGTAATTCATATGGCATGTGGTAGTTTGATGCCTCTTCCAAACATAATTGTTGGCTGTTATCATCAAGTAGGTATCCATGTAGTAATGCAGATTCTCGAAAGGTGTCAACTCTTTGTCCTTTACAAAGCTTAAGGTCATCGTATGACTTTGGACATCTTTTTTTGATAATAGTATTCTTAAAAAATATCTTTCGCCTTCACTTGGGTGTGCTAACACTATTCGTCCTATTGAATCTTCAGTTTGTCTAGGTAACCAGACTTTGTTATCCGGTTTCCATACAAAATGGTCAGGAAACTCAACATATGTTAAATTAAGATGTTGTGCATATCTATCTGTACTATTTTTAACAAAAAATTCAGTTAGCATTGTTTTTCTTTTACCTATATTATCTACAATATTAGTCAACCGTTCTTTCTTTTTGAATGTTATTGGTTGGTAATTTTCCAAATGTAGAGGCAAATGAATAACTGCAGGTTTGATTTCACCCAATGAAAATCTAAAAATTCTCCAAGCTGCCTCTGGGGGTGATATCCACCTACCTGCTTGAAATTGATCTATTTCATTTATGCTAGATGAGTGATCATCTTGTGTTACAGAAAAACTTATTTTGTCACATCCCTTGCATATGTACTTATAAATGTATTTGACAGCTTTAATTGTAGAGCATATTTCTATATTTACATGACAGTCAAACTTACAAAGTAAATAGGGATTGTAGGGAACAACCCATCTGTTATCTAGCTTGGCACCTCGAACTATAACTTTAACTCCATTGTCACGTCTTCGATATGCTGGATATGCATCAGTATTTTGTGTTGTTACATCACAAAATGCTTTTGGATAAAAATTCTTACAATATCCTTTTTTTTTCATACAAACATTTTTGGGATTAAGATCACCACAGGGACCATGAAGCATATGTTTCACTACCATGCGAAATAGATGAGGATTTGATCTTTCATTTGGTATTTCTGCTGAAACTATTTCATCATATTCTTCAGCATGGTACATCTTATAAGGAGTTCCAAGTATTAGCAAAAAATGAGCATGTGGAAGACCTCTTTTTTGAAACTCCACAACATAAGTGTATGCAACAACCTTTCCAAATATTTCATTTTTGAAAATCTCTTTTTTAAATTGGTCAAGTTTTGCATGGAATACTCTAACAATTAAATCCGCCCTATTTTGTGCTTCCTCATGGTGCATCATGTGTTGTTTGATTTCTGGCCAATTAGGATTACATGTTAAGGTTAAAAAAATGTCTGGCTTACCAAACTTTTGGACTAATGCCATAGCATCAATGTATTTTCGTCTCATGTTCCTTGGACCACCTATAAAATTTGCTGGTAAAACCACTCGCTGACCCATTGTTGATGCATTTGTCTCACCACTTGCCATAGCATCTACAACTCCTTGAAGTAACTCTTGTCGTAACTCTTGTTGTTGATTTCTATAAAATGCTAATCTTTGTGTCTCTAATTTTACATAACTATCAACTATATATTGTTGTAATAAGCGACCGAAAAGCAAACAGAGACATAATTTGAGTTCTCTATTGATTTGTTCATAACTGCCAAAAAATATTAATTAGTTTCTTAATACTACGTTGTAGAAAAAAAAAGTTAATGGAACATGTTTACCTGTTTGTTCCATATTTAATAATTCATCAGCATCTATAGCATCAAATGGCGAAATAAGCCTTTCTGCAGAGCTTGTTCCTATTCCACTATTACCTTGTTTATTGGAATTTTTTTTGGGAATGTGTTGATGCCAGCCAAGTTCTCCAAATGGAAACATTAAAGGGTACTGTAAAGGATCATAACAACCATAATAGTACTCAACAGTCCTTTGAAGGTCACTATGTGTTCTTACTTGTATATTTCTACGACCATGTTCTCCGTTCTCTTCCCCTTCAACCCATAGTGCCGCAACTTGTGAAACTTCTGGTTTGTTGTATACTCGTTGATCTTGTCCCGGAATAGTCTTAAGAATAATCTTATATTCACTCAAAGATGGAATGTCTCTTAAATTTCTAAAAAAACGTGCATATGGATTATGTTGTAGATAAGTTATACACGTTGCAATTATGCCTTTGGATAATCGTGGAGAAGATATTTGTCGATTTTCTATTTCATTGTTTGTATCGTGAAAATATAATTGAAGGTTTTTTGCACTTTCATCTTTAGGTTGTAGATCGTTCATGAAGTGATATACTTGACCTTGCACTCTAAAAGTGTAAATACCCTTATTTCGTCTTGTAAGTTTTTTATCAGCTTTAACACCCAATGAAGTGAATGCGAAATGATTATTATATGTTCTTATATATGTTCTAAATGATTTCGCATCATCAGAGTTAGATGTCAATAAATCTCGCATGACGGGTGGGAGTTCATTACTGGATAAAACAATACGACCTTCTGAACAACAAAAATTTGATGTTTCGGAAAAAAATTTCACAGCATGACAATAGACACAACACCTTACTTCTGGAAGAACATCGGCAGAAAAAATTACTTGTTGTAAGAGATGCTTTCCTTTTCTGTTGCTATTTTTTTTGCCTAGATTTGTAGATTTCTCATTTGATGGACCTAAATCTTTAAGTATTCTTTTGTTATGTCTTTTGCTTTCTTCAGTGATGTTTTCATTTAAATTGCATATACTTGTGTGTATGGTATCAATTAATTGTTCGTTTGACTTGTTTATTGTAACATTTGTATTGCAGGTCATTTTTAATTTTTTCTTTTTCCATTTTATAACAGCTTCCTTTCTTAATTGTTTCTTATAAGCAGGAGCAGCATTAAGCATATCCAACTTCTCTATTATCTCATCACATTTATCAAATTTTTTTTTCCAATTTATGATAGCTATCCTCCTATATAGTTTCTTATCTAGCTTCGAACAACCACCAATTGTAATATTTGTGTGATCTGTTGATGGTTGATGATTACCAATCATTGTATTGAAATTTGATGATAATTGTTTAATAATTTTAATTGGTATATCATATAACTATACTGATGGATGTGTTATTCTTATCTGAGACTTGTAATTGTCACTTTATTGTCACTTCTGATGAAGATTATAATATTGTGCATGAAAAAAATTGAGATACTTTGTAAGTAATGACATACATGACACATGTGTGGGTTGTTTTGGTTGGAATCACTTTTCAATTGTAAATCTGGTACATTTGAGTAGTTGATGATCTGATCTGGTTCATTACAAATAGTTAGTTCATCAATTTCAATTAACAAATAAATTATGATTGTAATTTCATTAAAAAAAGATTATGATTATACCTAAATGCAAGTACATTAATACATAAATTTTGAATTCCTTTGATCAGCATGTGAATAACCTGTTAATATCAAACAAGAACACACATCAATAAACAAAAAAGATAATATTGTTGTAAAAACCTGTTCTAAAAAACACTAAAAACCATTAAAAACTAACATAAACTTTATTGATAGCACATTATATTATATTTACATTAACTAATTGTTAACAACACATTATAAAGACGTCTAGTCAAAGCCTGGTCTGCTTTAATCGAAGGCAGTATGCAAACATATGATGTCATTTGGAATGCTGGAAATGACCTGTTGATCTTTCAGGTCTATTTGTTGACATCTTTTTAAGTAAAAGAGTCTAATTTCTTTATAAAATTTATATACATTATAAATTTCCTATATCTTTATCTTTACAATTTATTGGATGTTAAGCATTGTGAATTTATAATTAAAACTATAATAAACGAACAAATTGACTAAAAAATGGATGGAATTACTAAATTCTTTACAGGACGAAGGAATTATAAAAATGAAAAAGGATTGAAATATCAGTTCAAACCTGATCAGGGTAGGAAAAATAAATCCCATTTAGTCAAACCTCGGGAAAAATTGAAATATTAAAACTAAATTCTAATAATAGCCTAAAAATAGAAATAGAAAATGTAAAACAAATTGTAAACATATCTTCTACCATTAATTTTCTGTTCTTATTGAAAGGTTCTGTATTAGAAGCTAAGCTTCAGAGAGGGATGTAGGGTTATTTACTTGAAAACGCATATTAGAGCATAAACTGTTGATTGATTGCCTTTGAAGCATGTTAGTAGCAATTGTCAATTTTACCCTCAAAGTAAAAAGTAACATAAACTCTTCAATTGAAGGACTACGGTGATGACCCAATGCAAATCATTAACATTCACTATATTAAAAATTAACGACAATTAAACAATAAAAATTGCATTCTAATTTAAACAAAACACAAAATCAGAACATGATTTCAATACTTGGTGACACAGGAGAGAATGTTAATAAGAATTAGGGCAAAATTGTTAATAGAAACCTGAACGGGGCAGGAAAATCCAACTATTGGGTTAACACTAAGAAATAGATAAGATCAAGATCAAATTAGGGTTCGTGAAGATAATATACATGTAGCAAACATGTTGACAGCAAATGGAAGGATTGTGTTGTCCCTCTTTGGCTCCGTATTCAACAACATTACACTTTCAGGGATAATTTCAAATGGTAAAAATTATGACTTTTTGGGGATCATGTAATTTAAGTGAAAACCGAATGAATGTTACCTCTTTTGATGATTCAAGAATTAACCATCAACCCACCGTCGGCAGAATTGACTTGGTGGAATATTTACACAACGAATTACTTTTTTTTTGGTGCATTATATTTCGGATTCCAGTTGGGGATACAGTCGGACGTGGTGAGAAACAGATGGATGAATTGGTGGATAAGTCGATGGGTAGAAGGGAGTCGTAGAAGTTGAAGAGATCAGGAGATGGATTGAATCGACGTGACGAGCTACTGATAAATTGCGTCGATCGCTGAGGATGGGTTACGTGGCGATTATCGAGCCGGGTTTTTTTTTTGCGACATCTCAGTGAAAGGGTCTTTATATATAGTAATGATATATATATATATATATATATATATATATATATATATATATATACTAGGCGACTATCCGCACGTTGCGCGGAATATTAGTATATAGTTGAAATATTTATAAAATATATATGTTTTTGTTAATTATAACAATGATGTTGTTGTTAACTTTGATATAATAATTCTTATACTAAGTTGTTATTAAACATTGATTATTTTGAATGATATTACAATGTATACATCTATTAAAACTATATAATATTTATCGTCTCAATGAGTTCTACTTGCGGGTTACTCATAAATAAAATTAAAAATAATATATGGTTTAATGTTATTTGTAATTGTTGTCATTGTTAATTAATTTTTTAAAAATTTTTTGGTTAACATTTTAATTTATATCATTGTAATTATTTAAAAACATCAAACATTGCTTTTCTTTTTAAAGGTAACAATATAATTTTTTTTACATAATATTACTTTTGACTATTGTTGTTGTAAGTTATTTTTAAACTATTTATTTAGAAACTCTTAATGATTATAAAAATAGTTTTAATTTTTTTTACTTATTTTGCAATTACAAACTAAGTTTTGCATTTAACACTACAATTTGCATATTTTAACTATTTATAAAATAATATTTGGATTTTATTTTAATTTTAATTGAAATTTCAACATAACTGAACCCTTTAACCATATATTTAAATTAATAATTGAAACATTTTATATTATTCAAAGTTGTGACTTTAAAATAACAATAATTCACATTCAACAACATATCAAAACTAATAAGTTGAGTATAATATGTTAATAGTTAAATATATAATTTTATAAGTAGAAGTAAAAAATGTTAGTTTAATATTCAAGTTTAGTTAATTTAAGATTAAAATTTAGGTTTTGCTCTTATTTAAAATTATTAACTAATTTATAATCATTATTAGAAAGAAACTGAAAATTCGTGAGAGTTTCAAATGAATGTGGTGCTTTGATATATGCCTCTTTTATAAGTATAGTAGACGAATGTCTGCACGTTGCGCAGAAACACCTATATAGTTGAAATCTTTACAAATATATGTTTTTTAAATATAATAATAATGTTATTGTTCAATTTGATATAATAATCCGTATATTAAATTGATATAATATATTGATTATTTTGGATTATATGATAATATATATCTATTATAACTGCATAATCTCAATCGTTTGAATAACTTCTACCCGCGAGTTACTCATGAATAAAATTAAATATAATATATGGTTTTAATGTTATTTATAGTTGTTTTTATTGTTAATTATTTTTTTTTTAATTTATTTGCTTATCATTTTAATTTCTATCATTATAATTATTTAATTGTTTTTTTATTTTAAAGGTAACAATATAATCATTCATATAGAGTTATTTTTAACTATTGTTATTGTAAGTTATTTTAAGCTACTTATTTGAAAACTTTTAGCGACTATAAAAATATCTTTAAGAAATATTTTAGTTAAATTGAGATTACAATTTAGGTTTTGCATTTAGCACTACAATTTATCACTTTTAACTATTCACAAAATATTCTTTGAGTTTTTTAAGTGGAACTGAAATTTATATTTAAGTTGACACTGTAATGTTATATTTAAATTACCAATTTAAGTATTTTGTCCAAACTGTTCAAAAGTTATAGCTTTAAACTGATAATGGTTTACATATAACAACATATTAAATCTAATAAATTAAGTATAATATGTTAAAAGTTAAAGACATAACTTTATAAGTAGAAGTAAAGATATTATTTTAATATTGAAATTTAGTTTATTTATTATTACACTTTATGGTTCATATTTATTTAACCTTATTAACCAACTTAGAATCATTATTAGAAAGACACTACAATTTATCACTTTTAACTATTTACAAAATATTCTTTGGGTTGTTTAAATTAAACTAAAATTTATATCTAAGTTGACCATGTAATGTTATATTTAAATTAATAATTTAAGTATTTTATACAAATTGTTCAAAAGTTGTAGCTTTAAAATGATAATGGTTTACATCCAACAATATATTAAAACTAATAAATTAAGTATAATATGTTAAAAGTTTAAAAAAACATAACTTTATAAGTAGAAGTAAATATATTTTTTAATATTAAAATTTAGCTTATATATAATTACACTTTAGGTTTGATATTTATTTAACATTATTAACCAACTTATAATCATTATTAGAAAAAAAATTGAAAAGTCATGGCAGTTTCAAATGAATATGGTGAAAGGAAAAATGCATGGGAGTTTCAAATGAATGTGGTG